CCCACCTTGTCCCTCCCCTACCCCCTCCGTTTAAGATAAACTGTGTAATGTGTGTAGTAATACATTTCAAATACATCCCCACCTTGTCCCTCCTCTACCCCCTCCCTTTAGATAAACTGTGTAGTGTGTGTAGTAATACATTTCAAATAAATTACAAGTCAATCTATGACTTCTACATGTGAATTTTATAAGGAAATATGAGTGCCAAGTCATCAGGATAAGCTTGGAGTTGAAAAAAACTTACTCTGCTTGATTCCAGTCCTATTCAAGTGGAATTCCAGTGGAATGCTGTGGATTCCACTGGAATGACTCTATTCCTGCAGGATTCCCCTGGAATTCCACTGGAATGATCCCATTCCTGCAGGATTCCTGCAGGAATAGGTGGGGCACTGTAAAGTACTGGGTACAAGGGATGATTAGCATCCTGAATTTTTTTACAATGCCACATTTTTTGACTTACAGAAAATGGGGAGTGTCTGCCCTACAAGCTGCCATGTCAATGGGACAAGGGGTCTATTGCACTCGAACCCTGGTTGTGTTAGCACATCAATTTATCAGTGACCATACCTTCCTCCCAATAAACATATTGAACTGCAAAGAAAGGCCAGTATGCTGATGGTCACAAACATGCAGATGTTGTTTGGTATCGCAAACATAAATTCTTGCCACAGTGGAAAGTGCTTGAGGCTCGAATGGAGAACTAGACAAAAGATAATGAAAAAGAACTTGGGCCTCAACCAGATGGAAAGATAGTCATACCTTAGTTCAATGACAAGGCTATCTTCTATGCCAATGATCATAAACCGTGTGGATAGCACCACAAAGATGTGCCATCAAAGCCTTATATGAAGGGAGAAGGTGTGTCACTAATGGTTGGCAAGTTTGTTTCAGCAAAATTTGGGTGGTTGCAATTGCCTGATGGAAGGAAGAACACGTGGGTTATAATGAAACAAGGGAAGAACTGAGATGGGTACATGACAGCTGAAGACATCAGTGATCAAGCAGAGTGCGCGATGGACATACTCACAGAGTTCTACCCTGAGTATGAACATATCCTGATATATGACAACGTGCCCATGCATCTCAAACACCCTGAAGGGTCACTTTCGGCACATCATATGCCAAAATTCACTCCAAAGGAAGGTCACAACTGGGGGATTGAGGTCACCAAGCATGATAAGGATGGAAAGACAATGCATCACCCAAACAGGTCACTAGAAAAGGAGAAGATTAAAATGTCTGACACAAGATTTGCCAACGGAACGCCCCAGCCCCTCTATTTCCCTGAAAATCACCCCTGCACTGGTGTGTTCAAAGGCATGGCAATCATTTTAGAGGAACACAGCTTAAATGACAAGGCAAAACTATGCACAGAATGCAAGGGCTTCAATTGTGCACCTCCAGCTATTGATTGCTGTTGTCACCAGGTGTTATACAATCAGCCGGACTTTGCACATGTAACAACAATTCTCGAAAACACCTGCAATGCTAGGGGATTCTGTGTCATCTATCTACCCAAATTCCACTGCGAGTTGAATTTCATTGAGCAGTGTTGGGGCTATGCAAAAAGAATCTATCGTTTAAACCCACCATGCTCTCGTGAAGACCAGTTTGAGAAGAATGTCTTGGTGGCATTGGATAGTATTCCCCTGGCATGCATGCAATGGTTTGTTCCTGTATACTCTTGTCATATTCATTCTTACTGAGAAAATCTACAGGTTTGCAAACCGGTCATGCATATTTATGGATGCATACACAAAAGGTCTAAACGGCAGACAGGCAGCGTGGGCTGCAATAAAATACAAGGGCCACAGAATCCTTCCAGAAAGTCTCATGACTGATTTGGAAAAGTCTGGAGTAAGTTGATATTATTTTGAAACATATTCTTGTGCATTCTTGCTGTTTTCTTGTCTGACTTCTCCAATGTCAATATGTATTTCTTCAAAATCTTCTTGTAATCATTGTCTTATACTCTAGTAATTTGTATAGATACACTTATTGTCATACCAAATAGAACTGTTGTGCCTGATTTCCTGATATCTTGCATGGTCATTTGTATTCTATGTTATATTGAATGTCTGCGCTCATTTAGGAATGTAACTTCACGTGACATTAGATGGACATGGATGTCCTCTACCTTAGGCCTCACACTCCCCCACCTCCTCACTCCATGCCTGTACCCAATAATCATAATGTCCGACTCACGGCTCGAGTGACGTCCATGCCCATACCCACAGGGGCTCTTCATCATCGTGGAGGAAGCAGGACTCTTCATCGACATCAGCATCCGAGGGGAAACCACCTGGGAGTTCTTACTCCCCCTCTTCCCAGCACCTCCATGCCCAAAGTACAACCTCAACTTTGCAGAGGGACCACGCCGCTCATGTTCCTGGTGGATCGAGCTGATCATCAAAGAGGACCATTTCGATTTGAGCATGGGGCTTGGCAAGGGAGAAGGCGAGAAGGGGGTGGTGGGCTGTGATGTCCAAGTCGGCGCTGTTTGTCATGTCAATTGTCATAAATTCCTGTATTTCCTTCTTTGTCTGCGAGAGAGGCCTTGTCCATGGGAAGGTTTAGTGACCTCCGTTTTGGCATTTCTCCAGCGCAACCTTTGGCTTTCAAATAATTCTTTCTGATCCTCAATTGGGGTGGCTTCGACAAACTTCACAAGGTCCGTTATGTCGGCAATGCGCATCTTCGTGCGCCGAATGAAGATATTATGATTCAGTGGACCAAGGCTCATTGAAATTGGAGTTTGACTAACCTTGATATTCTGAATAATCTTCACATCAGCGAGGTTGGAGCTCCATTCATGAGGTCCATCACCGGGAACTATCAGGTTCATCACCTTGTGAAAATAAATGAGTAACCTATCCAGGATGTTATCCATCGGCAAGTTAGGGATTGCAGAATGAATGTACCCCCGATTTTCTCCACTAAACAAATGGTTTATACCCAAAATGCCTCTCAACACCCCCTGCGCGCAAACCTGGGCAAAATGGGCAGTTGAAATAGCACTCCCAACAAAAAGGTTACCGGATCGCCCATGATTGGAGAGAAAATCCATGAAAAGGTAACAGAACTGAAATTTGTTGTTCATGCATGTTCGGAGTTTCCAAATCCACCAGGCTTGGTCTATCAACTCAAAGCCCCAAAAGTGCAATGGTGCACGATCTATGGGACACAATAATGTCAACCACATGAGTGCTGCTGCAACGGCGGGGAGTTTGTACTCCTGGAACTGGTGGACAAGGTACCGATCAAGAATCAACGTGTATCAAAGGCAAAAAGCTGAGCACTCCATTGGCCTACACTGGACGAAGACCGTCCCAAGGCATGAGCATTATGAGTTAAACCAGGTAAACGAATACACTCACTCGGTTATGGAAGCGATCCCGCAACACTGCAAAATCATTCCACCACAATATAAAGGCAGTGGCATCTGCCGAACTATCCAATGGTAGCCACGTTTCTGGATCGTATTCTTCGAGAACCTTATCCAAAATGAAAGGATCCAATTTAACAACGTAATCAAAATGGGTTACCCAATGGTCCCTGCTGTACCACAATGCAGCGTCTGTTCTTTCCTGGGTAAATCCACCATGGAAATTGGCGAGGGCTTTGATACAACTTTTGAAAAGGAAGCAGTGGGCTTTAAATCCGTCAATGTACAAGTTACGCAACCTATGGTGATCCATAAGAAAATCCCAAAGGGACGCATGATAGAAATGAATAGGATTTTTGTCATAAACAGGGATGTGAACGATGGAGTGCAAGTCCCAAAAAATCACCGTAATATCCTTGCGTTTGAGTTGAAAAAGTGCCTGGAGGAATTGAAGAGTCGCAATTTGTTTGCCGTTTAGATAGAAAATAGCCCCAAGTAAAGACATAGCCCTCTCCGTCTCTTCGCTAGACTTCAAGACATGGCTATAGAGCTCGTCGAGTAGAGCAAAAGGGTTAGTGGCAAAATTAGATGAATCCACTGATCCACAGATATCGAGTATTAGCTGAAGCTGAGCGGTTGGAATTTTACGATCAACATCTATGAACCTGATCACCGTCGCAGGAAAAATGAATTGGCCCGATGATTTTCGGACAAGGAAAGAAATAACATCTTCTGGGGGCCACGGCTGCGGGAGGGATGACATAGAAGGGAAGCGAGCATGGCGTTGACGGAATATGTCAGCAAAGCTGCTTCGAAGAAATGTGGCGATATCACGATCGGGATGGTAAGAGTCGTCGAGAACCAGGCGGTGAGTGATACCCGAAAGTTTGTTGTCGAAAACTGTCACGATGGCTGACTCTGGCCTGCTCACGACTAGGAGGTAAAGTGTTGACAAAGAGGACGTCAGTTTTAAAAGGGCATCACTGAGGGCACGAAGGATTGCAGCCTGACGCCCTCCTCCATTACACTCATCGAGTCCATCTATGACAACCAACATTGGCCACGGTGGACCGCTCTCGGGATGGAGCGAAGCATACACCAGCGGGTAAACCACAAGACAGTCCATCTGTTCAGAGAGGACGCGGTCAAAGATGGAAGGATCTCGCTCAATCGCTCCCTCGATGAGAGGTTTAGTGGATGGGATTGAAGTCACAAGTTGGGAAGCGAGCGTGGCAATAAGGTGGGTCTCCCTGTTTCTCTTCGGATCCGTCCGAGAAAAGAAGAAGCTTGCAGCCAATCCCCCAGAAGTATGAAAATTATCTGCTATTTGTTGCAGAATGGCCGATTTCCCTGAGCCAGCTGGAGCTCTCAGCCAAAGGATACAAGTTTTCTTGGAGTGATCTGAAATCCAACTGGTGATATCGCTTAATACTGCTTTCCGAGTGTCGGGATGGCATTTGGGAGCGTCATAACGTTCATTGGAGTTGTGCATCGCGCCCGCCACGATATTTTTATGGAGTACTTTCAATGCTAGTGCAAAAAAAAAAAAAAAAAAAAAGTCAGTGACCGAACTCAGAGTAGGACGAGATGGATTATGGATATTATACCTTGAATTCCAGCAAGGCTGCTGGTTGGATAACTTGCATGTTGCCCCTCATTCATAAGGAAATTTCCGTGAACAACCGCGAGGACACCTCCTGACACAACGACGTTCTTGGAGTGGTCAAGCATGCAGTGACGGCGGCGTTGTCTCCGGACAACCTAGTCGACATGTTAGCGCCCATGGCACAGGGTGTTCGGAGCCACTTTTGAGATTCCGCCGAAAACCTTCATGGTTGAATGTCACATGACCTGGGGGGGAACGCGACCAAGACGCGACGCGAAATTCAACGATCTTTCTGCCAGCTCTCAAACTCCCCCGCCAATATCGCAAGCCCTGCAACTCAAAACTACTAGAGTAGGCGGGCATGATCGGTAGTCGTTTAACTACTTACCCGCCGTCACAAAAGGTGTATCTGTATTACAATTTCTCAATATATATGGCTTTGCTTTAGTTATCACTATAGAACCAATATAGAACGTGAGTATTTACTAATTACTATATGTACATTCAGTCCATTGAGCATTTTCCCTCCTAGAAATGCAAAAACAAGGACTTACTAGTAGTAATTTCGACCGCGCCTTGTTTCCGGCATCACATGATGTCGCTCCTTTTTGAAAGTGAACAACTGTTCAGAGCCCTGTCCGGTTTTCAAGTCCACAAAATTTCAAAAGACACAAGTCGTCATTGTTCAAATCAAATCAAAAGTCATCAACAGCGAGAGGGGGGTACTATGGCTACATTGTGTGAGGTATATATATGTAAGTAAGGGCGTGAACAGATGAGATAGATGATGATGGTGGGTAACATATATGCTAAGTAAAAGTCATGATAGTTTGTTCTATGAGGGGAAGGGAAAAATCATTAGTGGAACAAAAGAACGAATAGTGGTTAGTTAATTTGCGATCGAGTTCAGCAACGAAAACAAGGAAACAAAACAAGAGATGCAAAAGAAGAGAGAGAGAAATAGAAAAAAGAAAAACAGGACACAGAAGAGCCCAGCTCAAACCCGAGCCCCACCCCTCAAAAACATCTCCACAGGGATCGGCTTCCTCCTCAACCCACTACTAGCGCTACTCAACGCACTATCATCGCTCCCCGCATCACTAACCGTAGGCGTAACACTCCCCCGTCTCCTCACTCCATGCCCATTCCCGTAGCCTATGATCATAACGTCCGACCCGTGACGTCCATGCCCATATCCATATCCGCGGGGGCTCTTCGTCGAGTAAGTAGATCGACTAGGACTCTTCATTGAAATCGACGTCGGCGTTTGGGGGGCCTTGGAGTTCTTACTCCCCCTCTTCCCGCCCCCAACACCCCCAAAGTACAACCTCAGCTTCGCAGAAGGTCCTCGTCGTTCATGTTCCTCCCGAACAGAACCGATGGTCGAAGAGGACCATTTCGATTTTAACATCGGCGTGGGCGTGGGAGAAGGCGAGGGGGAGAGGTCGTGAGAGGAGGTGGGAGCGTGTTCAAAAGAGGTGGCGATGTCCAAGTCGGCGCTGTTGGGGCTCGAAGGGAGCGAAGGGGGATACTCAGCCCCCCCCTCCCCTTCCCCTTCGACGTGCACATCCATCTCCACATCAAACCGAAAGTCGTCCGATTCAGAAGAAAATGAACACGCGCTGCCCCTCAAGTCCAAATCCATCTCTATATCATCCTCGTATAGCGAAAGCGAGAACACCGAACCCTGATCGTCCGTTTCGAAATAACCACAATCTGCAGGGATGCTGGAGCGTGGCGGTGGTCTGCGAGATGAGGATGGGGTGTGTGGTGCACGGGAGTGGAAAGAGGTGGGGGAGGTGGGGAAGGGTGATGAGATATGGTTCATTTCGCTGGAAGAGGAAGAAGAGAGGATGGAGGAAGAGGCGGAGGAGGTGCGGACGAGAGTTGGGATGGGTGGTGGTGGGTAGTTTGGTATGAAGCTTCTTCTACTTTGTCGCTTGGAAAAGGCAGGGGAAACCGGGGAATTGGAAGACGGGGTGAGAGGGAGTGGTTTTGAGTAGCGAACGGAGTGGCGAGGTACGAACATCGATTCGGGGCGTGACGGCCTTTGATGGGTGGTGGGTGAAGTGGGGAGTGTGAGGATTTTGGAGAATTCTTTGTTGTACCATTCTGAATCGGATTCGCCTTCGTCGGATTCGTAGAACGATTCTTCTTCCGATGATGATGATGGGGATAGTGGGATGGGCCTTTCTAAAGAGTTTTTGAATGGTTGTAAGAGGGAAGCGGAGATGGGGCATTCGGTGTCGTTGAAAGACGTTGAGGGGGAGGACCCGTTGTGCTTGGCAATGACAAGTGGCTTAATGGCTGCTCGGCGGGGATTGAACCGCGGAGACGGGAGCGCAAACTCGTCGTCTGACGTTGAGGGTGTAGGCGGCAACGTGCCAAACCGCGAACACGGGCTTGAATCTGAAGATGACGCGGACGAGGTGGGAGAGGCGCAAGAACGAAGGGAAGTGGGAGTTGGAATGGGTGGGTGCGGGAATTTGTAAGAAACGTCCGTGAACGTTAGCCTGAACGAGTCGGGGGATGGTACAGGGCTGGTAGGTGGACGCGGGGCAGGTCGTGGCGCGGAGAGGAGAAGGAGATCGTTTTGTGTGAAAACATCGTTGTCATCGTGAGTAACGTTATCTCGGGCGATGCGGATATCAGACACGGAAAGATTCGCGTGCCTTCGACGTGCTTTCACAGCGAGCCCTGCGTTGGTGGTCATAGGTGAGGGTGATGGAGAAGGGGATCTTGAGCGCGAGGATTCAGAAGAGGGAGCTCTGGATTGTTCGTCCTCTTCCACAATGATATGAAGAGGTTTGGAAATGTCGGTGTTGCGGATACGAGAAGTGCGAGCGTGTCTTTTGAGCATGGCGTCTCGTGAAAAGACTGTGGAAGAATAAATAAGAACTCGGGGCGGCGAAAAGGCGGTTGGAACTTACAGTGTGAAACCGTTGAACTCATAAGGAAGTCGTGTCAATATGGAGCTGAAGACAAGAGACGGAGCCTGTGAGAGTACGAAGAAGCATTGGACATCATTCGTCTTGTATTTAAATACAAGGAGCCCATTGTCCATTGTCAGAATGGTTCGGGGAGGACAAAGGACGGCGCTACTTCCTTTTTGGGACATCATGCGGAGTTTCAATGGCTTTGGCCCATTGTCCTATCCCATTGTCCTACCACGCTCATAAGCGCATGTATTGCTTCCTCTACGTAATTTTCCGACACGAGGAGACAGTACGTCCACACCCGTATCATACGCGAGAATTTCGGTTGATAGGTTGGAACATTTTGACCGGTATAGCTACCACAGGATAAACATTATATTGGTTTTGGAAAGCACTCTTCATCGATTTTGTGAATTTCCCTTCATAACATGCATTTTTTTGGAGCTCTTCCACCTCAACGGAAGCTCTGCAGGACGAGTACCGGGATACTACTATTGCATCCTGAAGCGCCCTTGCCACGTGGCGCATTGTTCCTCCGAAGCCTTTGGTAAACATGTGCAAACTCTGTTCAGAGCGCTTCGCCGTTGCTTTTGTCGTTTTCTGGGGGGATGGGGAATAGGCTTGCGTGTAAAAGATGCGGATCGTGCGTAAAATGTTTTTCAGGGTATTTCACATTTTTTACATGGTCGTTCATGCCCAATGACCCAAGATCTAAAAATTACGAGTTCACATTTTATTCATGCAGCTAGGGGCAATGCATTCACATAATATCTACACAAGCTTGCTCTCCTTCGGCATCGAAACAAATTTCCAAATCCTCAAAGCTTCGGTGTATCCGCGAATAACGAAGCCATCATGCCAGCGGGGTAACGATCTCCCTTAAACACGTCCGCCGTCTTCGCTATCGCCCTAACCTCCTCAACCTCCTCCGGAGTAAGCTTCACCTCCCTAGCGGCAAAGTTTTCTTTGAGATACTATAATCCCCAGCCCGTCAGTATTTTTCCAAACAAAAAGAAAAATGCCCAAAGACATACCTTGATTCCTTTGGTTCCCGGAATAGGGATGATATCCTCCCCTTGAGCTAGAAGCCACGCAAGGGCGATTTGGCCCGCCGTTGCATTATGCTTCTTGCCCAGTTCTTTAAGACCATCGACGAGCTTCAGGATACTTGGGAAGTTATCTCGGTACCTATTGGGCAGTGTTATTGGAAGCCTTTTACAAAGCGTATATTATAGATGGTACTCACTTCGGTATATGCTTCCTGAAATCTCCATCTTCCAACTCATCCACCGATTTCTATAGAAAAAATCACATTTATCAAATTCACAATTTCAGGGAGAAAAAGGAAAGGAGGACATACAAAACGACCCGTTAACATCCCGCGTCCCAAAGGCGAATACGCAACCACAGCTACACCAAGTTCCCTACACGTCTTTAGCAGTGCGATCTTCTCATCCTCAATGTCAAGCGTGAATGGCGAGTATTCGACTTGAACGGCCGCGATGGGGTGAATGGCGTGAGCGCGCCGGAGGGTGTCTGATGAGATTTCGGAGAGTCCGATGTATCTGACTTTTCCTTGCCTAGTGTCCTGGTATCAACGACTGAGCAAAAAGAAGTTCAAGACAGCGTACTTTACGAGTTCTGCCATCGCGCCGACAGTAGTCTAGACAGAAAAATCAGAAAATTGAAGTATGTTTGAGATACGGGCCGCATATGCTCACCTCAATCGGAACGTTGACGTCAGCTCTCTTTAACGACACATATCAGCGACACCCCATTGAAAACAAAAGACAAAAACACACATGGAGGTAATACAAATCAATCGTCTCAATCCCAAGCCTCTTAAGTGACTTCTCCACCGCAGCCTTCACATATTCCGGCGTCCCATTCGCTATCCTATCCGGCGTTCGAACGATCCCGAATTTGGTAGCTAGGAAAATCTTATCGCGGTTGCCCGTCTTTTTGAACCTGCAATGACAACAATTCCATCAGCTCTCGATAATAAATGATGAGGCTTGAAGAGGACGCACCATTTCCCGAGCAAGTCCTCGTTATCGCCATAAATATCAGCTGAATCCCAGAACGTGCACCCTTCTTCGAGTGCTGCGTCCAATACCTGCCAATTGTAAGTTACGCCGTTCAGAACAAACCTCAAGTAGAGAATCAAGAAATGGTAGTACAGACTTTGAACCTCTCCTCGTCATTCTCAATAGCACCATAAAACGCAGAAAGCGCCATAAGCCCGAAACCTATAGGCGAAACGGCGTCGTTTCCGATCTTTCGGGTGTTGGGTGACATTGTGGTATCGATAGTGAGGGATTCTTGAAACTCAAGTACTTGCGCGATATAAATAGGAGGACGATCATGATATAAATAGAAGGAAGGAAGACGGATGAATCAGCTCAGCCTGACGATCGGCAAATGGTGACGCGTACGTTGCAACTGCACCAGCCTGAGAAACGCGTACGTCTGGCTCGCCGATTCGGAGGGGTCTTAGTAAAGTAGGCTCGGAGGTGAGTCAGCGGCGTGTATGAATGTATTGAAGAAGTTGGGTGCCGAACGCGTACTCACTACATACCAGGCTTCACTCAAATTTTGAACCTGCGTCCTTCAAGTTTTCGGGCCTTGGAAAGAGCGTCATAGCTTCTGAGCGCTTAAAGCCTAACTCATCTGAACTTGGCGGAGAAAACGGAGGTGGAGGTGGAGCTAGGTGGAGGTGTATGTACGAAGAATCACTGTGGGCACTAGCGGGCAGGGACAAGTGAAGGTTCTACTTTATCTTATCGCACTTTACCCCATGGCGACGGCCCGGGCTCATTAATCACTTCGAATCATTGATGGCGAAGGCCATGTGGATGGATTTCAGCTGGTCACTGGCCTGGTCACTGGTCAGGTGTCAGTCAAGATTTAGGTGATTCCCTCCGTTCAACCGTTGCCTTACGTTGCGTATTTTTTTTTTAGCTGCGTATACGTTTCATCACAGTCTACAGGCCCTTTCTCTCATGTTCTTGAGTTCGCAAACTGTGCGAGTGGGGCATTAATTAAATTCTTCGTATCTACAAAAGTAGATTTAAGAACCACTGGAGCAGTGAGACGTTGTTGTGATGGTGGGTACATGATTCCGCCTGCAGGACGTCAAAGCACCAAAAAACAAAGCGATGGTTGAAGGGTTATGGGGATTGGTCGTGTAGGCGTCTACGAGGGAATTGAAATTCCAATAATATCGTTAATGCAGCTTATAAGAATGCTGTCAATGGTCGGCGAGAGGGGTGTTGGAGGTCCAGCGGGATCGATTTCGTTCAACAAAGTTGTGCGGTCATAGAATTTTGTACCAGGGGGGTGTGTATGTCCGATTGAAAGCAAGAAAATTTGCAAGCCATCGTGACCGCGGTGTATATATAGGTACAATATGGGGACGTCGCATTGTTTATGATGGGGCGGAAGGTCGAATTGCTGCTGGAGAAGGAATCTTCAAGTTTCTACGGAGTCGTGTTAAATTGTTCATTTGGCTGTCCAGCATAGAAAATAAGGAATGAGGGGGGCGGAATAAGCTTGCCGAGGGAAAAATACAGACCTGGAACATATGTTTAATGCTGCGTAGTATGGAAGGCTGGTGGCGTGAATGGCGTGAGCGCGCCGGAGGGTGTCTGCTGAGATTTCGGAGAGTCCGATGTATCTGACTTTTCCTTGTCTAGTGTCATGGTATTACATCTAAGCATAAGGAACCCGCAGACGGCGTACTTTACAAATTCTGCCATCGCGCCGACGATGATCTACGGAGAAAATAAAATCAAAAAATTAAGGGATTTTGTGATACAAACCGCATATACTTACCTCAATTGGAACGTTGGTGTCGGCTCACTTCAAGGACCAATATCAGCGACGCTCCTACATCTCCGGGATAAAAACAAAAGACAGAAACGCACATGGAGGTAATACAAATCAACTGTCTCAATACCAAGCCTCTTGAGCGACTTCTCCACAGCAGCCTCCACATCTTCTGGTGTCCCATTCGCTGCACCATCTGACGTTCGGACGATCCCGAACTTGGTGGCTAGGAAGATCCGGAGGTGTCCCTGTAAAGAAGGCTTAGGACGAGTCAGCGTTGTGTTTGAATTTAATGAACTTGAACGTGCCGAAAAGAATATGCGTCCTTCAAGTTTTGGGCCTTGGCAAGCGCGTCATAGCTTGGCACTGAAATGCGAACTTGACGGAGAAGACGGAGTTGGAGGTGGAGCTAGGAGGAGGTGCATTGTCCAATGAATTGATGATGAATCACTGTGGGCACTGGCGGGCAGGGACGGTTTTATCTTATCGCACTTCACTGGATGGCGACGGCCCGGGCTTATTATGCGCCTTCGAATCGTTCTTTTGCACCTGGCTACGGTCAGGTGTCAATTTGGAGGGATGGAGGGGGGCCAGAAACCCGGCTTTCATTGAAGATGACAAGGCGACTTGAAGGCGACACGATTATCCGACAGCGCCCCATTATTTCAAGCTTCTTTTCCGTGAGATATGTCAAAGAAAATAATAAACCCATGGGAACAGACTTACCACTACAGCATTGGCAGCCTACATGTCCTCCTCCTGTAAACTCTGCATACATACAAGAAATAGATGAATGGGGTGAGGAGAAAGCCTCACTTTCTTTCGGAGTTTCAAATTCGAGCCAGTGGTCTTGCCAAGCTCTGCCAAACACGTCGACCATCATTTGCCACCAACTTTTCCAAAACTTTTCTTCTCCTGAACTGCGCTACTTACTCCTCTTAGCCAAACCTGCAAAGCAAGTAGAAATTTTATTTCTTAATTTTGTTGATTTATGCGACAGGAAAATGCCTTTTGAGTTAGGTATGCCACTGAACAATCCTCGGATTTGATACGACAATGTCACCGTCCCTGCTTGGGATATCCCAGTACGGTTTTTCTTGGTCCCGTGTCCTATACTCCTGACCGCTAAAGTCATCAATCTTTGCACAGGTGACCGGACACCGTGATCTTTCCAGAGTCAGGTGCCAGCTTTTGCGACGCAACAACTACACCAAGGGTGTCGATATAAAGGAGTGTTCGACAGTCCTGTTTCCCCTCTCTCTGTTTTGTATCTTATCCTCCACCACGAGTAGCAGAACTCCTTCTCTTTAAACGATGGTCAGCGCCTTCTTACCTCCCATCAACGGCTCTCACCCGCGCAACTAGCCCCTGATATAGGGATACTCTCATACTTTCTTTGCCTCAAGGATGGGAGAGTAAGACCTTCACGTCGAACATCTCCAATGAGAAGAAACACGGTTTCAGGGGTCTTTCTCAAGGCGTGGCCGCCACCGTCTCGCCATAGAATTTGCACTTCCTCCGGACGGATCTACAAAAGTGCGAGGTGATAGGCTGAGGGAACGGGAGTGTATGAAGAGTGTATTGCTAGATGGAGTGGGAGGTACATGGGCGCACGGGCTTTGTGGGTGAGTCTTTTAACTTCTTCCACCTACGAATTATATCCGCTCGAAGGGTTTTCAAGCCCCATGTAACCTCCGAATCAGGCTTATGTTGCCCATCGATCCGGTGTGAAGCTTAGATGTGAAGCAATGACAAATCGACGTTTACGTGACACCATATGGTCGTCCTCTGATTGGCTCCGGATGGCGTTCAGGGGAAGATTCGCTGCAATACAGTCGAGAACTTGGAAGATCTTGGATTTCACTTGCTTGTCGGCATTAGGTGGGTGATTTATATTTCCATGTGTTACATGAAAGCTACTGAATTCGTTGTTCCTGATGGCTTCTCCAACGTCTCTTTTCGTAAGTAGGGCAAATTGTTGTTCCGACGTTACTTGGACGTACCAGCGCTGAGCGCTAATTGCTCGCACTGTTGACCTTTGCGAATTTTCACGGCTGACGATCCTGCCACAAGCTACACTAGTGCTACACTGGGCTACACGACGGGCCAATTTTAAATCTTCTAGCGTGCACATACCGTTGTCAGGGTGCAAGTTCCCAGAGCGGTTCGACCCCACATCAGCACAGCAAATCCCCGCATTTATATGGATCCCGGTTCGTGCCCCCGCCATTTCGATTGCCGTAGACATGTGTTTAGGCGTATTTTCTTCAATCCCCCGCACGCCCAACTGCAGCTTGCGGTATCATTGACCATCGGCTATCCCTAGGCTCAAATTTCCGCTCACACCGCGTGGAAGTTCTTGGCAGTTCTTGTTAGGAGACCAGGTTTATCCTTACCCCTCTGCGCTCCTCCTTTCATCGATCGCATACAGAAGTTTTTCTATGCGAACTACTGATTTAAGTGGCTATAATAAGACACTTTTCTTTACGGTATTTCTCTTCTTCCGTACAGCTTCCGTATATTTTCATCACTCCTCATCTTATTTCGTCCAGTGCGCCCCCCCTCCAGATTCCAGAAACGATTTTACTTCGGGACCGTGATAGCTTTCTATTTTCAGGGGTATCTGGGGTACGTAAAGTCAGATTATCTCTACGATCGGTAAGATCCTGACGCCACATGATAAAATAGGATGTTGTTAACCGTAGGCAGGGCGCACTGAGCAGAGGCTTTAACGCGCGCTCTGCTTTGTGGTCTTTGAGAGCTAATGTGTTTCGCTTTTCAAGTTTCTTCAATTGGGCCTCCCGTTTTTGAAGCCAAGAGGGAGTTTCTTCAAGCTCGAACCCACGATCATCTGTCAAGAACAACTGCAGTATGTGTTTATCAGATGGTTTTTGCGAGCGCGTCATCGTTATCTCTTGCCGCCGGGATCACTTTTCTGTCAAACGCGACTCCAATGGCTCGCACTTGACAGCTATCTTGAAGGCGACATTCACACCTCATCGTGTCAAGGTTATCCAAGGCGATGCAGGTGTCGTCCCTTGGGGTTGCCGTATCTCGGTTCGATCACACAAGTTCACTATTTGGCAAACTATCTTGAAGGCGACATTCACGCCTCATCCAAGGCGATGCAGGCGCTTGGTTCTTTTCTCGTCCCTTGAGGTTGTCGTACCTCATTTCGATCACACAAGTCCCTACTGTCTGGCGAACCTTCATTCCTACTCGAAGCTAGCCAATGAGGATCACGAACGAGACGCCCAATCCCAAGGCACATTACCTCTCGAGCTCAACGTGCCAGCATTCATTGGAAGCTTAGATTATCCGCACCTGGTTTCTCCGATTGCGGAGTTTCGCATAACCCTCGCATATTCTGATGCCCATAGCGGGAGAGCGTCGGCTTATCAACCATTGTCTCGTTTCTAGGCGCTACGCCCGGAGAGTGAATGGGAGAACTAAGAACCGCATCGACTTGGCCGCAGCACTCTCAAACACTTCATTTTGGGGGACCATTCTCAGTGGCGTCCTACATATCGGAAAACAAGATTGGTATCAAGGTGAGCGGCGCCGTTTTTTTCTCTCGACTCGGGTGTTTGGCTTTGGTTCTCGCGTTTTCTTTTTGCGACTCGGGTATTTGGCTCTGATTCTCCAGCGCCATTATACCAGGAACAATATGATATCCACTGGCCTTCTCACTCCACCTGGACACCACCCCATTTCTTCAATCCCAGCCGGGTATGTTCTGGAAGTCGCATGAGGTCCTTTATGACATGTTCCTGTCAAAGTGTGTAGTTACCTAAATGTCTACAGGTGTTTATGTTGCTGCCTGGATTCGGTCGATCGACGGGAGTGCTTCTCCATGACAGAACGTATTGACGAGAGGTGTTGGATGGACGGAATTAACTGTTCATATCGATAACGAAAGGTTACCGGAATCTGAACTTTTCAGATGATCCTTGTAGCGATACTTATATGGTTGACATCCCCCTTCTCAATGCTTTTCGCCAGTTTATTTATTTCATCCGTGATGTTGAGCTGCGGCAAGATCACAGTTGATATCACTCTTCCGCTTTATGTATGTAGACGCGCGCGGCGGACCCGCATCAGAACGCGTTGAGATCATGCGCAACTGAAGCGCGTGCGCGTATCAAGGACAACAAGAGCGTGAAAATGAGCATAGATGCGACCACGCACTTGAACCCGGGATGATCCTACATAACACTTGCTGCTGCGGGGTATCTACGGCTCTTGGTTAGTATTAGCGACTGTGACGGGCTGATTGATTGATCTCGAGGCAGTGGTTGATTTTATGAATCGATCTTCGGCCTCGCTACGATGCGAAATGATCATAAAATATATTTTATAAGTCTGCGAGCAATTCCTATAGAGAAAAGTGGAACCCATAGACAGTAGCTTGCGCTCGAAAGACATTTTGGAGTGCAGTTAACCGTAATACCCCCATCGCTCATACATTGGTTCAACTCAAATTAGCCCGAAGAACCGAATTTTATCCTCTCAAAGGCGCGTCCTAAAATAAAGCCCGTTCTCTAATAACTCCTTCAGAACGGCATTTGAACCGTGTATAGTCTAAAAGCATTTACGTTATGAGACCATCTTTCAATCCCGGAGGGAGCGAAAAAACTAATCTGGGTCCTGTCCGGCGTCTTGAATTCGACGGAGAAACCTCGTAATTATTCTTCATGCCTGGAGATTTTTAAAAAAGGCTGGGCTTTCAACAACCAATTAAGCTCAGAATATACTTGGCGACTGGGGTTCATTCTGGTCGACCGAAAGAGCACAAGCATCACCATATGGATCCTCAAACGTCGCGTTCTAGAGGTACATAACAGATATAAAACTGATCCCGTCCGGTGTTTACTACGCATCTCTGCGGAGCATTCGCGCGGTTTTTTGGGTCCGGTCATTGTGCATATTCTTCAACCCCTCTGGAGCCGGTTGAATAAAAGAAGTCCCCCGCCGGGTGCAACGACTATTTTCAGGATGGGTAAAAAATACTGTTACGTGGAGATGCGAGAGATTCATTTCAAAAACATGGGGATATTTATGCCTGGAGATTGAAGAAAAAAAGGGCTTTCAACAACCTTTTGAAAAGCTCAGAAGATACTTGACAACTGGGGTTCAATCGTTAAATATTTTGGATGCCCGAAAGAGCGGAAGGATCACTCAAACGTCAAACTGATCCCGTCCGGTATTTACTACTAGTACGCATCTTTGCGGAGTATTCGCGCGGTTTTTTGGGTCCAGTCTTTGTGCGTGTTCTTCAGCCTCTGGAGCCGGATGAAAAAATAGATCCCCCGCCGGCCGGGTGCAACGACTATTTTCAGGATAGTAAAGATACTGGCGAGAGATTTGCGTGGGTACGTAACATCGCATCCCTATTTTTACGTAAATTTATGGCCCGAGTAGGACCTGGTAAAGGTTAATCTCCCCAAGCCGGAATGATGTCGGTGAAATTAGAGAGGGTCTGAAATTACTGTGTGGTTTATTTAAACAACTCTGAGCAGCAGGAAATGCTCAGATAAAGTTAACTCGATGTGGTATTGTCCATGATGCATGACCACTGGTGTTTTTTAATGAAGCTTTTGAACCTTACCGTCTCATAGTTGAGAATTCAAAATCGGAAACGATCATTTTACCCACCAGCCACGAGTTCTAAGGAGTGAGCCTGAGTGAGGGTGATATGATGAAGAAGGAATTTTGTTTGCCTAATCTAGCGCAACCCATTTCCCCTGTAAAATCACTAAAACTACTGTACTAATCCAATCAATTCGTCGCACCCTGTGACCTGTGACCGACGCGACGAAATTTTGGTTTCGTCGCGTCACCGGGGAAGGTGTGACTGCCTGGAAATTTCGTCGAAATGTTGGAGTAGCCCTCTGTACATAGATAAATTTAAATAGTTCAGATAACTTCGCTAGAGAGACTTAGAGGGGGAAAAATCGATTTCTAATGAAAAAGGACCCCCAATTTTGCTTATTTTCCGACTGACCTGGTGGTTTCGTCGCTGGCCCCTGTGACCTGTGACCCCTTAGAATTTCGTCGATTTCGGACCCCCTGTGACGCGTGACCGACGAATTGATTGGATTAGTACAGTATAACGTATGGCAACAGGGATCAGCCAGCTTCAATATCACGGCTAAGACCGATATTTGTACGCTGCCGATCAATATGCCGAAATTAATTATTGTATTTGTAACATAATATTGTTTATTGCTGTTTTCGAAATAAGTAGTTGACGTCAAAATAAGGTCTCAAATGCCCGCGAATCCTCGAACACGATTTTCTCTGTAGATACTTATCATAGAGACATAATTTATAGTGTTTTGGAACCGTCTCGGCGAGCTCTAGGTCGCCCCATAGTTTATTTTATGAGAAAACGAAAACTACATCATACTGCTGCTGGAGGGTAGGTGGACAGTGCCGAGACTGCTGCAAGAATTTCTCTGCCAATACCAAACGTAAAGCTACAATTTTGGGCGAGATAGAATTGCATAATGTGCACCTAGGTCGCCTCATAATTTATTTTGTGTAAGAGTATGTACTGGTCTTGTAACTGCGCTATAGGTGACGACACCCCATCACTTCCCTTCCAAATTCGGTCGTCACACGTCTTTATGCAAAATAAACATTTTCTACTCTATGATGCCAACGCAGTAAGAATTGTATTTTTTTATTGAGTAGGCAAAGAGAAATCGATGCAGCAATTAGGTGACTAACTGCTGCATCAATTTCTCTTTGTGTACTTAACAAAAAAGTATAATTTTTACTGCATTGCAATCATAGAGTAAGTATGTAGCTAGGTCGTCCCAATGTTTATTTTGCATAAAGACGTGTGACGACCGGATTTGGAAGGGAAGTGATGGGGTGTCATCACTTATAGCGCAGTTACAAGACCAGTACATACTCTTACACAAAATAAATTATGGGGCGACCTAGGTGCACATTATGCAATTCTAACACACCCAAAATTGTAGCTTTACGTTCGGTATTGGCGGAGAAATCCTTGCAGTAGTTTCCGCACCGTCCTTGCCTGCCCTCCAGCAAAAATATGACATAGTTGTCATTTACTTTTGAAATGAACCATAGGGCGACCTAGAGCTCGACGAGACGATTTCAAAACACTATAAATTATGTCTCTATGATAAGTATTTACAGAGAAATCGTGTTCGAGGATTCACGGAGATATGAGACTTTGTTTTGACGTGATTGCGGCCGCGCCAACTATTTCGAAAACGGCAATAACAATATTATATTCAATAATTAATTTCGGCATATTGATCGGCAGTGTGGTCTTAGCCGTGATTTTTGAAGCTGGCTCCCTGTTGCCATATATTTCAATGAAGATACCAGATGTACATTGTATGGGAAACAACACGAATCAGCACTTTCACTTTGGCGATAACACGATAGGAAATTGTGAATTGATTGTGACAGTACGAAATATTTGATGGACAATATCAATATTAAATTGTAAATAGTTATAATTAGCTTCGGCATATCAGTCGGCAGCGTACAAATATCGGTCTTAGCCGTGATATTGAAGCTGGCTGATCCCTGTTGCCATAATAACGTTTCTTCGCTGTTCTGTTCAGCGATCTGGGGTTGGGAAGAGAGTGATATCATCATTATTTACGGTGTGTATGACGACAACCTCGATCTGTGTCGCAGAAAAAAATCTTTGTTGCGTTGAACAGGGGTTGCATGTGCACCTAGATCTGTGTCGCAAAAAAAAATCTTTCGTCAATGTCGCGTTTTAGTTTTTAGACAAATAACGTCACTGCCCTCAAAGTGAGGGTAGGTGAGGTTACTCCAACAACGTGGGGTCGGTTATATTCGGTCGGTCGATACGCCCTACGCGTTCCCGTTTCTGTTTCCAAGATATAAATAAACTCGTCCCTGAGGAGTACTTGGCTCCCTTGGAAAATGCTTCCTTGACTGAATGTGATGAAATTTTTTTCGATGAGTGCCATCATGGGTATGGGTTAATTGAGTTTTATTCAGAGATCGAGGCCTCACTGCCGATCGAGGTGTGGTGGTGGTGTCGAAATAACAGCCACAGAGACTTAGCCATTTGCCCAAGAGGAGTCGGCGATCGGATTCATGATCGTAGAGCCTTGGCGTAGAGTATACTGACGTATGCACGGTCGTGAATCTTCCAACGTTCAGGCGTTGACCCAGCCGGTAAAGTAAGGTAGTTATCAGATGGGTAAAGAGTACCTGAAGAGCCACGCGGTAATAAGCTTTCCTGTTTGAAATTGTGCTTTTGCTTCCTGATGCGGGGTTGTTCAGTAGTGTGGGGTATTGGTATTTATTTATTTAGGAGTACCCCCCCTCTTCTGGTTGCGGAGATAACGCGCAAGAAGGACCAGCCCATTTTTTCGATCTGATTTGATGACCGGGAAGTTCAAAGGGCACAAAGGGAGGGACCCCTGGGACGCACAACGACCCTTGGTATCAAAAGGGAATAAGCAACTCACTCCTGGCTTTGAAGGGCCTTTACTCGTCGAACGATGTCCTTCTTCTCTCCTCCTCCCCCTCCTCCCACTGCTGCGTTTAAGGCTCAGGCACTTAATCGTGTCGAGGGGTTCCATCCGGACGATTCTTCCACTCCCAGCAGTCCATTTGCCGATCTGTTCAGTACCACGACGACGACGACCTCGGGGGGTGTGGAACGACGACGACGACGATGCATCAACAACATCATGGGTTCGACCTTCCCGATCCCTTTCGAAAGTTCCCCACGTCCGTGGCTGCTGCGAATGTGGAGTTTAACGACGAGTTGTCGATGGCCTCATTGTTGGGTGGCCCAGGTGGTGATCGATCGTCACCTAACGGCCACCACCATCAGCATCACGGTCATCATCACACTCACCACCACCCGCAACAGCATCAGCACCAACAGCAGTACGAGGACCCAACGGCGTACGATAACCCCACGTCCGCATACCGCACCCACAACATATTCGACGTATCTGCCTCCAGCGCATCCTCCACAGCTTCATCAGCATTCCCCACACACTTTTCCTCTTCCTCCACCACAACCAACAATGGCGCAGGGAGTCAACCAAGTAGCTTACACGAAACATATCAACAACACCCATCATTCAACTCTACCCTCCCAGCGATAAACAGCACGATGCGGTACGACCCCCCCTCTCCTTCCTCCCCTCAACTCCCACCCGCAAACCCACCACCATCATCCTTCCATCCCCACCACTTAACGCGACACACGCCCTCCCCAGGATCCCGCTCCCGTTCCCGATCCAGACCTCCGAGTTCTAGCTCTGCCCCTCCGCCTCCGGCGAATGGGGCGGGGGGTGTAGGGCCTGCGAGGACTACGAGGGCTAGAAGGAATAATAGTATCTCTGGGACTTCCCCGCCGCCTTTTGGTGTTCATCATGGACATGGGCATGGGAGGCCGCATGCGATTGTTATTCCGGGGAGTCGGATGGGTAGTTTGAGTGGGATGGCGCATGCTGGTAGTCCTTTGAGTACTTCTTCTAATGGTGGTGGAGCAGGAGGGGCAGGGGCAGGGGGGAATGGGTGGTATTTGGCTGGACAGAGTCAGAGCTCGTAAGCCTCTTTCTTTTGCTTTTCACTTCACTTCCCTTCGAAGCTGACGAGGGAAAAATAGAGCCTCGGAATATTCACTCCCCACACCCAACGACCATCATCAACAATACACCCCTTTCGTGCTTTCCTCATCTCAGGATATGCACCACCACCTCCCGCCTTTACATCACGCGCACCACCACGCGCACTCGCATTCGTTGCCGAAGGGGTTAGACACGCAAGCTGTCAATTTGATGGCGCTCCCTTCTTACGATCCTCTCCCACCGCAAAATCAAGCTCAAAATCAAGTACAGCTCCCACCACCCTCCCATCCTCCTCCTTCCCACCCCGCTCCTTCCGCACAACAACAGCAAGGAGGACAACAACAGCAGCAAGTAGGCGACAAACAAGCCCTACTAGCCAACGAGAAAAGAAGGAGGAGGAGGGAGAGCCATAATGCTGTTGAGCGACGACGGAGGGATAATATTAATGAGAAGATTAGTGAGCTTGCTACGTTGATTCCGGAGTGTATGTTGGATGTTGGCGGTGAGTTTTTTCTCTTGTTCTTTTTTTTGCGCCTATGGGTTGGTTGGACTGCGTTCCTTGTTCACCTCCTTCATCCCCAAACCTGAACCCAAACCAAACCCCTCTCTTTTGTTTTTGTTTTTTTCCGAGGGGGAGGTTGTGGTTTTGACGCTTTTGGTGTTGACCACTGCGTTGGAGGTTTCCTCGCGATTCCTTTCCAATCTATTCCCCCTCTTTGGGTTGGATCACGTTCCTCGTTCGGAGGGGAGGGGGCGTTGGCGCTTTTTGCTTTTGGTGTTGACCACCGGGTTAGAGGTTTCCTCCCCCTTTTCCTTTTCTCTTGCGCTTCGTTATGGGTTGCATTACGTTTTTTTTTGTCCCCCCCCCCTCTTCCATCCCAAAACCAAAATCTGAACCCAAACTAACCCCCCCTCCCCCCCAGGTCCAAATGGAACCGGCAACGGAAACGGCAACGCCTCATCCCCATCCGCCGCTTCCCCAGGCGCAAGCGGCGGCGGCGGTATCATGTCGAACGGTCTCCCGGACCCAGATTCGCTGCTGACACCCGTCGACGTGTTGAATGGGCTTAACAATCCCAATCCCAGTGCGAATGGGTTGAACGGCACGCCGACCAGGAAAGATTCGTTGGGCGAGGAATGTGGACAGCAGCAAGGGGGCGATGGGGGTGTTGTCAAGGCGAATAAGGGGATGATTTTGAGGAAGAGTGTTGAGTATATTAGGTGGGTTTCCTTTCTTTCTTTGTTGGTCTTTTCCTAACCAAGCAAAACACCCCTTTGTACTATCCTAGATACCTCCAACAACTCGTAACAGCACAAGGCGCCCGGAACTGCGAGCTCGAACAAGAGCTCAAAGCCTACCGTCGACGATCGCGCAGCTCCTCCAGCATGGAACCACCTCTTTCCGACTCAGCTCCAGCGGCAGGGGGTGACGGCAGCAGCATGATCCTCCACGACGAGCTCCACCACTTCCATCATGGGCATGGACATATGGGGAGACTGCCGAGCATGCCGGAGGAGGGAGGGGACGACGGGGATGATCTTATGATGGGGCTTGAGGATGACATGGGGATGGGGATGAAGGGGAGTTTGAGCCCTGATTCGACGGAGGGTGAACGGGAGGAGCGGGGTGGGGAGGGGTTGGTGGAGGAGAGGGGGAGGACAAGGGGTGTTAGGGGGTTGAAGGCTGAGGTGCAGAGTGATGATTCGTTGTTGGGGATGTGAAGCTCGTTTTCTCTTTTTCTCGCATCCCGGTGGATATGCTTTGCCTTTTTTTCTCCTCCTTATTTCGTTGTGCGGTTCCCTCCTGGCTTTGGTGCTTTGATCCTTCCCCCATTCCCCCTTTTTTCGTGATGGCGATCTCTATTACTTATGCTGCTGCTGCTCTATACCCGACACCGACTCGACATCCTCGAGGATCAACCCAAACCAATACGATAATCCATGGTCCCCCTCTCCCCCTTCCCCCCACCATCAACTTGGAACTCTCTCCAGCGCAATAATCATTCCTCGGAACGCGTCCAGTCCAATGCTTTCAATCGCAATCGAAGCGACAAACCCTCCAAAAAAACCCAGACAAAGTTGGGAAGCTGTGTATATTAGTTAGTAGTTACTTTCGTATCTGAACTTGAATTTTATATCTCGTTTTTTACTTGAATCGGCTTTGCTTTCTTGTCACTGGCGAATTCGAGTTTTGTTTACTTACGCCTCCGTTTGTCCTCCGTCGTCTTTGCTTTCTCGTCATTGACGAATTCGGTTCTACTTACTACCCTCACCCCCTAAGATTTCTTTTGGGACTCCAAACGATGGAATTGATCAGGACAGGGATGATGCAGTCCTCGGGGGCCTACGCACGCATACACTTGGTTAGATCCACTTTTCGCATTGCCCTCGCCGCGTCGGACGTGTTCGGCCGTATACGTAGCGCAATGGAGCTTGGACCCATAGTGACGGGGGTGATGATCGAGGGAGAGGTTCTTTCCCTCGAAATGGAGCGATTTCAAGTTATCCCCGATGATTGTGGAAGTTTAGATTCTGGGAGTTGTTGAAGTTGAAAAGAGAGTTCATCACGCTGGTTCCTTGAGTTTGACGTTTCGATTGAACGTTGAGCGCCAAATTGTGCACAACCTGTGCTAAATATTATGCGCCCTCAACGTCAGCTCTAATCCTGGACAGCGTCAAGACGATCTACGTGACGCACATCTGGGTAAGTAACCTGATGCGACTCCTCGGTGATATGTCCTTCCGAGCTTCCAAATCTTCGAAGGACGCGAGTTCATGAAATTTACAATACTGAGATCCGTGCCCCAAAGCTAGCTCCTGGAAATTAATGAATATGTCAACACGGGTGGATGCGTGGGTCAAGTCCGTTCTCAGAGCAAGTATTTCCTGATGACATGGCACTTCTTTCACATTTGACGATGCGCCGATACCAAGGTACCGGGAATGGATGCCGTGACCCGAGGTAGGGGGGATGGGTCCATGAGGCCTTAAATTTTTAAGGGGTCATATTTCTTGCATATTTCGTGCATTTTGATGCACTTTGAGATGGATTTGAGTCACCTTGAATAAGTTGAAGCATTTTGACATTGTTTATACACATTTCTGAGGCTAATCCTCAAGTTCGGTGGTCTATTTCCACTGAAATTGGCTGGTTAAGTGCTCGGACTCCTTGAACATTTGATGGTAACATTTTGTGTATTTAGATATTTCAGGTTTGTTTCAAAGCTGGAAAAGGTTCACAGCCTGCAGACAGAAATGTCTTCGAAAGAAGCATGGAAAGAACATACTTCTTTTGGATGAAAACATACCTTATTTGGAAGGCAGGAAGGGGGGGGGAAGTACCAAGAGCCTTAACTAAAAAAATCTACCCTGTGTTGTTTTTGCAATCCTGGTACCCCCTTGGCCGATACCCTGCATGGCTTTAATCTGGCTTTAATAGTGATTGTCAGTAAGTCAGGAATCACAACGAGGCTGGCAACTAGTGTTGCCGCGGCTCCGGCTCAAAGTCGGCTGAAGCCAGGAGCTGAGCCGAGTTTAGCTGAAGCCCAGCCAGAACTGCCGAGTGATGACTCCCACAGCTTGGCTAATTCCAGCTCCGGCTAAGAAGCCGGCTGGAGCTGGCTAAGCCGGTCATAAATAGTGATCATTTAAGTTCATTCATTCAGTCATCTTAAGACTCATGGGTCTTGCAATAAGGTCAATAGTATACACGTTGCCATCAAGATATGCATAAAATACACAAGAAAAGTCTCTCTAAGGTATTTAAATTTTATCTAAGGTATTTCATCGCCAGGTGTCTCAGGTCACTACCAGTAGATTAGTGGCAATTTTGACATCAACCTTTCTCAAAAGCGTTGTTGATATCAAAACCGAGCAGCCACAGACCTGTTCACCAAACTCCTTAATCCTAAACTGTAACCCCCTATGTGGGCCATCAAACACAGTAAAGACTTGGCCTTTGCACTCCGGCCATTCAGGTATTAAGTATGGAAATGGCACTTCAACCACTTTGTAACCGAGTTGAACCTTGACCACATCTCCGACCACTCCCTTGAACTCCCCGCACTTATCTTCGTGCTGGCTGTTATGGAAATTAGGGTTGGTATTGATGAGACGAAGGCTCAGTCTCATGTTGGCGAAGCAGCCATCTTTGAGCCAATACGGAGAAGAGGCTGCCACAATTGCATCAGTATCTATTGACTTTGAATCAAAATCAGAAACATAATTACCATCATCACCATGGCAGGGGGTTTGTGAGCTTGGGTTCCAAGCTGGGGTCATCAGGATATCTTCTGAGTTAGGAAGCGGAGTAGATGGCCCTGCAATGGCCGGAGTCTGCGGAAGGAAAGCAGCGGGATATGTGACTGAGGGTTGCAGATCCAGCAAGGGGTAACCAGGGAACAAAAAGCCTGCCAGAGTACCAGGCGGAGGCGCTGGTTCAAGTGGGTAAGTAAAATCGGTGAGAACCTCTCAAGGCCTGGGGGCCTGAAGCCTTTCGTTGGTGCTGGAAGCTGATTAGCATCGATTTCAAAAAAGAAGATAAGGGGCTTGCATGATGCGTAGAGAACTGATGTCAAAAACTTGTGGGCTTTGGAGGCACGCCTCAAGCTCGACCAAGACCCTTTTTTCACCAACTGTGCTTTTTATTCTGCCTCGGTAACCTCTAAAATCCCCCTTGATGACCATTACTTGTTTTCCTACAAGATGACTATTGGAGTCCCCCTTGATGACACGCTTTTGCGCATCTGTGAAGGGAGCTTTTAAATCTGAGGACTCTGTTCCAAAGACAAAGGGGGAGGTGAAGAACTGGACAATCCCTGGAGATACCTCTATCTAAAGGATGACAGAATGTTAGAAGAAGTATTATATAATAAAAAGCAAGATATTTACCTCTGTACTGGTCCTGTCATTAAAGACGCACACATAGTCATTGTCTCCATTCACCACCCAACCCGTAACACCTTCGTGGTCTCCCGAAAGAATGCGGACTTTGTCCCCTACTTTGAGATCTTTTCGAAGGGACAGAAAGGGTACAGTAGTTGTTACATCCTCCATCGTTAAAGAGACAACGGCTTCGTTTTCCGTTATATCCTCAATCATTCCAAAAAGCCCCCTCGAATCTCCGTGAGTGATTTTCACCCCATCACCTATCCGAAGGATCCTGGCTGACATTCTTGCCATCATGTGCTGTCAGACGTTGAGAGGAATGTCCAAGCAGGTGCTAAAAAGTTCGAATTCCCTCGATGTCGGTACTACATCTTCTGCGGTGTACCAATCCATGTCGACTTCCAAGAAATATGCATATCCATCAGCATCATACAATACTCCGCGGAATGAAGACAAGCTGTTGTGCTCTTGAAAGGCCCAATGAAACCGTTGCTTCGCCAGTGTTGGATTGAAGAGGGCTTGGCGAGGCTGCCCTGGTGCTGAAGCTCTTCTATTTAGCTCACGATGGGGCTTGTAGGTCGCTGCGAACTCGTCGTCTGTCTCATCATTTCTTTCCTCATATGCAATAAGCCAGCTTCCTTTGACTTTGGCGGCAGGTGGGTCATAATCAACGTGTGGTACCACAAGGAGGTTGATGAGCAAGGTGGAATGAGTGCGAACCTCCCGAATGAAGGCGAGATCTCCTTTGTAGATCCCACAGTGCAGTTGAACCCATGAATGAGGCTTTGGCCGAAAGGTATCTGGAACATTGAAGATGGAGGGGTTAGGATCAGGTATGTGGAAAGTCTTTGAGAGCATCACATTGGGTATGCCATTACAGACTTGTCAAATCATCTCCTCCAAAACACCTTCAAAAAACACTCTACCAGGTAGAGCTTTCCAGCCAAGGACCGCTGGGGGTCAAAACCGTGCAGGAAACCTAGGGTCCATGAGCCGCCGATGGACTCAACAGACTATCCACTCCTCATATCCAGGCTAAGTAGAAAGTCATTACAAACATGAGCTTCAAAGATTGGATTAGTATTACCTTGACAAGCACCACCCATAAAGACGCCTTTCCAATATCTTGAACGTCTTCTTCCGCAATACGTTGATGAGCCGTGACGCGCTTGAGAAAGCTTTCCCAAAACACATCGTCATTGGATGGCATCAATGCTTCACGAAGAAGGTTGCGGTGCGCATCTCCCGAGATCAACTCATCAATGTCTTCATCGTCGTTGATAAGATCACCTTGAAAAGAATTAGAAGTCTACTAACTATCATTACAAATGTATGATACACACTTTCGTTGCTGTCATTCTCATCATCAGTTTCTGCCTCTGATACTTCAGCTTCGAGATCTAAGAATTGAAGAGCTTGCGGTGTCTATTGTGTGATTAGCTTGCTAAGAAATCTCACAGGAATAAAGAGAACTTGCCTCGAGTTTTCTATGTTTCATTGGTCTCTCAGTGTATTCTGCTTCCATGATGATTTCCTAGTATTTCTATTACATTAGAGTCATCTAGAGTTCATTTACTAGCACGCACAAACATTTCTAAAAGCTATTTACTCTACAAACTACACGGATGGTGCACAAAGATGGGAAAGAAGCTTGAAATGGTTTGCGGGCTGTTTATGTTTCGTTGACTTTAGGGCCAGTTGCTTTCCATCACGTGGGCACCGCTGTTTGCCGAAAAGGACAGCCATGGTGGTGTTCTGTCGTGGGCTGAATAAAAGAAGTTATTAGTTTAGTTACAATGAGATAGGTAGGCATTGAAGGCATACCTGTTGTCCTTGTTGTAATCAACGATTATATTCTACACATAATAAATGGGAGGGGGAACTTATTGTGCTTTGTATTTGTGACAACACATTTTAATTATATAGGTACAACAATATAATATATAAACATAACTAACATATGAGAAGTTCTACATACGAGAGGGTTTACATATGGTGGGGGGGTCTACATATGGGAGGGGCTATGTACATACACATACGGGAGGGTCTACATACGAGGAGGGATGGGAGAGTGGAGAAGAAAGGAAAAGAAAAGTGAAGAACGTTCCAGCACTATAAAGTGCCGGCAAAAAGTACTGCAGGTGAGAATTTTTTTTACTTCAACAGCCTTTCAAAGCCAGAGCTTTTCTGGTTCATATCTGAATACATGGTGGCTTGTTTGAGAATGATGAAATATCCTTTCAAACAGGCATAAGTCGTATTGTGTTTATGTTAGGGCAGCTTCAATCCAAATTAGGAAGTAAACTCTGAAAAGTCGCTTCGTTTGAATGAAGCGCTCTCAGTCAAATGAAGGCGTGCAAGTCTAATTTTGAATACAAGGACTAATATTGAGTATACCTTCCCTTTGCAAGTCCAAGAGCTGCCACGCGTTGGGGCATGCTGTGGTAAAGCGAGAACAAGTAACTATCCTCCATTTCTGCCCATGTATCCACCAAGGCCTGCCAAAGCTGACCTTTATTGGTTGGGTATTGTGGGCGTTGGCGAAGTCTAATGTTGAGCTGAGACCAGACATGTTCCATTGGGTTCATATCTGGACTGTTAGGTGGCCATGGAAGTGTCTTGATTCCATTACGTGTCAGCCAAGTTGTCATGTACTTGGATCTGTGCTTGGGATCATTGTCTTGCTGGAAAATCATTCCCTTTTTTTGAATCTCCAGCATCTTTAGGGTACCAAGGAGTGATTCATCCAGTATCTCACAAAACTGGACACTATCCATGATCCCTTCGACAAGATGGAGCTCACCATACCCCTTCGATGTGATACATCCCCAAACCATGAGGCTGCCCCCTCCATGTTTGACTTCTGTCCTCACATTCTTTGTATCAAACTCTTCTCCAACTCCCCTCCTGCACCACTGAAGCCCATCTGACCCAAATAAATTGAACTTCTTCTTGTCTGAAAAGACTACAGATAGCCAGTCTTTTTCGGTCCAGTTCTGATGGAGTAAATACCATGCCAGTTGCTTCTTAATGTGAGTTGGTGTGAGGAAATAGCGTCGGCAACGACGGCGGCCATGTAGGCCTTCACGGATGAGGACATTGCACACAGTCCAGACAGAGAGGGTTGGGAACAGGTCATGTTGTAGCTTGGATGTATCAGGATATACCCCCATCTGAATCTTCTGAACGGCAAGGTGTGTGTCGCGCTTGGATAACTTTCTGGGACGACCTGGATGTGGTGGGGTATAGTAAAAGTTGTGGCTCGTGGTATTTGTTGAATGTGCGGCAGACTGTGTCCTCGCTGAGACTGAGTTCTTGGGCAATGTCCTTAATGGGGACATTCCGCTCTCGCAGGCAGATGATCCGGGCCCGCTTTGTTGGTGTGGCTTTAGTCATAGACTTTCTGCGAGTTTGGATGGAAATGATGTGGTTTCGAGGAAGTGTTGTCGCACTGTGCCACGATTCTCAAATTTGATGAGGTAATATTACAGTCTATTTTTGGGCACTCAGGAACAAACTCTCTGTAACTTTTCTCCTCGTTCAAGGAACCACACAACATTATGGTGTCTTATGCAGAAGAACCTCCTCATTAACTTGAGAACAAAAAAGGTGTTTATTTACCCCCATAAATTAATAATCTAGCCTCATCTTTTTGGTAAATTGTGACCCGCAGTATTTTTTTGCCGGCACTTTATATCCCAGGCACTTTAGGGCCGCTTTTGATTTAGGGCAGGCATAGAACATTGAGGGCAGGCATGGAACGTTAAGAGCAGGTGTAGAAACATTCTTCTACGCCTGCTCTTAATGTTCCATGCCTGCCCTCAATCAAAAGCAGCCCTAAAGTGCCTAGGATATATAGCGCTGGAACGTTCTTCACTTTTCTTTTCCT